GAGGGCAAGATTGTGTGGCCATTGAGGTCAGATATCACCAAAAATGTTATAGGCAATATACATGTACTGAATTTCTTAGACAGTTATCAGAAAGGTAAATATTTGTGATGTTTTTTTTATTTGTATTCTCCGCCTTCTTGCCACTGGTATTATTCAAATAAAACTGAACCATGGGTGAGTCCTGAAATTACTATGTTTTTGTCCAGTGGACGTTAAACCGCAATTCTCCTCTCTATCTCTCCTTGTACTGCTAATGCCTTCCTGTCTTCATTAGCTGGTTTCTGCATGAAAATAAGATGTTAACCCCTGTGTAAGTGTCTTTTTCCTCTGTTGTACGAAATTAATGAGAGTAAACCAAGCTCCAGAATTTTGTTTTAATTGTGTACATGTATATGTTTATTTATATTTTTCAGCAAAGATGACTAGCCCTCCGTCGAATATTAAACCACATACAATATATTCTGTGAAGATGTCATAAGAGAAATAATCATAAATGGCCAGCAAAGTTGTCTTGTACAGAGAGAGAGAGAGAGAAATGGGGTATAACGTCCACTCAATACAAACTAGGTCATTTTGGGACTAACATACGGTTTCAATTTTATTTCAATAATTCGCTTGCGCGTATGGGTCTTTAGCAGTGAGAGGAAACCGGAGTGCCCGGAGGAAACCCACGAGGTTGAGAAGACGCCTCTATCTCCATGCCACATACGCTCACACCTGGGATCAAAGCCACAGCCACAAGCCAGAGGTGACCGACCAGCTAGAGGTCGAAGCGCGGCACTCTAGGCCATCCCAAACCCCCTTTCTTGTACAGACCTGTGCATGTGTAGTCAATGTGAAAATGAAAAAAAAAACTGTTAAAGAGACCGAATTTGATGTTAATACATTTAGTAACAGTGATGATGATAATGAACATTAGCTTTGATGACATTTGATGTGCAGAGTAACTGTTTAATTTTGATTTTCAATGATTGTTTCACTTTAATAAATAATTTCACAACTGTTCATCCTGTTTTCTAACCTTTCCCTTCATTCCAGCCCAGATACACAATTATTTTTTTTAACTTATATCTACATGTATGTTTGTAATTTGACCATTAATCATATCCGAAATAGTAGTTCACAGCTACATTACAGTTGTAAAAATACTGTAGTGGCTAATTGAAAGGGAACATGTATGTGGGTTTAGAATGTTTATCTTAGTGGAAAAAAATCATGTGGTTCAATGCTTATAAAGTGCTACTGATCTCCATTATTTCAAAAGCATATCACTCAACTACTGTCAAACATATCCCCTGGCTAGAATATGCTACAAATCGACTCTAGCATGTTCCATACAAGCGATAATTTCTGAGCAAACATCCAACAACCAACCCTAACAGGCCCTTGAGATCCAACAAACAAAATAATTATTGGGCTTGTTTGCCCACACCTGGTCTTATGATTCATACAAGACCTGATAGTCTATCAATTACAGGCATTTGACAGAAAGGGAGATAATTCTTTTTTACCGTTAATGGATTTCCACAATTCTTTATTCACCCATGACATTTGTGTTTTGAGCATTTTTATTTACATCAAAATCTGTCCAATAAACTGTTCATTGCCAAGGATGAAGGCATGAGGTGTTTTACCAACTATTTAATTTTATGTCAACTTCAGAATTGTTAGTACACAAATAGCATTTATTTGACAATTTTGACGAATTTCATCTGGCCCTAAATCAATAAATTGCAAACATTTTGCTTGGAACTCCCAGATTTTGTCTTCCTGGCATCATAAGCTTTCCAAAAATGTATAGTTTTTCTTTTATGGAAGACCGTGTAGCGGAGTTGTGTTTCTAAGCTAGCTAGAAATTTTGGCTGCAGGCCTACACCTCCCAAGCTAAATTTCCCTCATGTCATCCTGTATAGCAAAGGCATATGCCTGTCTTAATTAACCCAGTACTAAACACAATTTACTTGTTTAATTTTTCCAGCATTTTTCAGGATAGCTGATGGGATGCGGGTCAAGTTATGCCACTTGTCTATTTAATTATTTACCAGTGAAAAATCGAATTAACTTCACCAAATTTTTACTCATTATAATGATTTTTTTTTTTTCTGTTCATATTATTTCTATGACATGTCACAGTGACTGTGAATATGAAAGCTTTAATATCTGCTTAGCAGATCTAGTTATTATTATTATTATTATTATAACGTCCTACTGTTCTGCTCCGACTGAGCATACGCCCCAGTGCTATGGCGGAAATTGTATCGAATTCCATCTGCCAAGTGATCTTTAAAGTTGAACTCCGATTACAAAACTACAGAAATAATTGAATAAAAAAAAAATAGCACCCTAAATCATAGCGATTGTACGGCCTACAAAAACAGAGGCAGGCCACGCCCACACCCAGGTCATGCCTTGTCAACCATACTGTAATCGGAGTTCAGCTTTAACGTGCACGTCAATGTTAACACGGGACGTCGGTATTACATTCCCATCCGAAGAACTAGACAGCTGTCCTGCCCCACTAACAAGAGGAAACCAACATTGTGTGTGTGTGTGGGGGGGGGGGGGTATTACTGCGCGAGGTGTATGTTCTTTAGCGGGAATATAGATTTATTGCTGCTAACGAACGTCTGTATGTGTCCTTATCCTAAAAGTGCAACGTTAGCTCATTTATTAACAGCTTACGAACCAGGGGGTGCTGGCCTTGAACCCGGTGTTAGACGAGATTATTCAACCAGGTTTCCCTTTGTCTACTAGTTCACATGGGAGAGAAACCGGGGTCCCGTGAACACGCTGATGTGCACGTAAAAGAATCCTTGACAGTTGGAATTCGATATAAGAGTTGAATAAGGAAGAGAGTCAGGGGAATCAGTTGAATAAATGAAATGAAATGGGTTTTAACGTCCTACTGTTCTGCTCCTATACTGGGCTAATGAAGACGGGCATACGCGATACAGTGTGCTATGAGGGAAATTTTGCCCGGCCAGCGGCACTATCGGCTACTCTTATATCGAATTCCAGCTGCCAGGGGATCTTTTACGTGCATTCCAATATATACACGGGACCTCGGTTTTTCGTCTCATCCGAAGGACTAGACAGCTGTCCTTATCAGGCCCTCCGTTCTGCACCACTGACAAGGGGAAACCACGTCGGAACTCAGTTGAATAAGAATGAATAAGTTAGCTCAGTTAGCTGTCATGGCACAATTCCCCTCCCCCACCCACCCAAGTATAATGGACGACATCTTATAATAGGGACAGTCGCATCACGCCTTGCACAAGCAAAATCGGTCCAAAAAAATCAAACAATCTACCCCGGGCTGCTGGCGGAGCTAATAGAGATATTAGCTCGAAATTTGAAGTTTACATTCACCTTAAAACAACCAGCTGACGGTTTATATGTATAGGATAAAGCACGAGACTGGGGTTGTGCTGGGGAAAGAAAGACTGAAGAATATAAAGAATGTTGAGTAAATTGTTACATTTCGTTGAACATCTACCAAACAACAGTTTTCTTTCTAGATGTGTGTGTGTCGCTACAAAACACTTTGGAAATGTTTTATCCGAAAGTTTGAAATGCCCCAATGAACAACCCGGGGGAAAGTTTAAAACATTCTATCCATTTGCAGAATTGCGTTCAATTGAAAATACCAATTTGAATGCAAGCGCGGAAATAACTCTTACACTTGCAAACGTAATTTTCTAACAAAATACTATGGCTTGCAATGTGTCCACAGGACGTTGTTGACAGTCCAACAGGCGGAAGTACGGCAAAGGGGCTTAATGGATCACACCAGTAGGTAACGTATCATCATGCAAGTCCAAGTTCCTAGCTCGATCCAATGTCCTACCAAAGTCACTAAGGTGGGGAAGCGGGATTTTAATCTTTTAATCATAGTTGTATCCAGAAAACATTTAAAAGTTTCAAATTTATGTTTAATTTACACTAAACACATTTGTTGTAAACCTCTCGTGTGTATACCACATAAACTAGTTTGTGTGAAGGACTGAAGATAAGATCCATTTAAAGTCGTATAATAACATAATTTTATCATTAACCATTCATTATGTTTATATTTATTTGATATTGCTTTAATGCTCAACGATGAAAAAAAATATAAAAAACCCAACAAGCAATTCCACGGCGTTTCAAAATAGAAATAAAATGGGCTTTAACGTCTCTCCATTGTCTAGCAACCAGGGTAAATAGTGGCATTGTTATAACCATTAAGCATGTACGGTATATAGTTGGTTATTTGAATACCACTACAGAACATGCGCCATTATTTATTCATGTAAAAGCTATATAAACATGAATATCTGATCATAATAATGGTGTTCAAAATACAAAAGTGCTATTCGCAGGGCCGTAACTAGCTCAGAGCAACAAGGGGGGCGGGAAGTGTTCTCAGGGGTACTGTAATATTGACGGACAATGTATATCTATTTTTTTTATAGTCGAAAATTTTTTCACAGGGGGGGGGGGGGCGAAACTTTTTGCAGGGGGCTATGCCCCCCCCCCCTTTAGTTACGGGCCTTGCTATTCGTAATTATACTGTCAGCTTGCGATGTGTATGCTTGCGTGTGCCAGCGGCGTTATCCTTGGTCGGGAGGTCTTGTGGTCAGTTTCATTATCGTTAAATCCCGATTTAAAGTCATCTTTACTATTGAAGGCTTTATTTCTTTCGCTGAACATGGTATTTTAGATCATAAGTCGGGTTATATAAATAGGATTAATATTATATCATGTTGTGAAAATTAAAACATTTGGGATATTATCTCTCTTTATTTAGAGAGAGAGGGAATTGCTATAAATAGGCTAACCTATAGGTGAATTTTTTATGGTGGTCAACCCCAAATATCTTGTTTTGTAACTAATTACCTCCCTTTACCTAGAAATACGTTGTATGGTAACTAATTGCTTCAGAAGGTAGAGATTAAACTGGGTCCAGGGGTACCCAGCAGAGACATCTGCCAAGCTGTCTAGAAGTAAAAGTACAATAATTGATAAAACAAGTGTTTATTTAAATTATATATTTGCTCACCTGCCATTTGTTGTTAAATAAAATTAAAAGACAGATTAAATGTTAAATAAAATTAAAAAAAACTTTTATATGTATCGATATTATTAATCCCGGCTCCTTAACATTATTTTATTTTTTCCGACAAACAAATTTATATTGAAATGGCACACTGTCAAACTGGTGTGTTTCTATATTGGAAATTCCAGCTTGCTCAATTATGGCTCTCAATGTTTTCAACCCAGACGTACAGCCCAAACCTACCCCATCCTGCTGACACAAACTTTCAGGAATACAGATAGTAGTACTAATTATAAAACATTGTGGTGACATGGGATCCGCTTTATTTTCACGGTGGTTATCCCCCTTGATTACTATTTCTATCGCCAGCAAGACGCCGTTATCTTTCAATACATTGATCATTCCCTGTGCACCTTTCTTTGGATTGCCAAGATCGTGTAAGCAATCACGGATATAAGTCACATCAAACTTCCCTGTCCAATCGCCCGGGAGTTTATAAAGATCGGCAATCTGGGCTTTGATGTTCGTCAACCCCTTCTCTTCGATGGTTTTTGCGACGACCGCCATAGCGTCAGGTGAGTAATCACTTGCTATAAATCTACTGTTAGGATATCTACTGGCCAGTTCTATAATTACTGGACCCAGACCACAACCAAACTCAACAAAATCAATTCCACTCTCTGAAAGAAAAAGTACAAAGTATCCATACATGTTTAGTGGAATGTTATCAGGCTTTCATAAAACTTTAAACGTATTTACGGATTCCAAGGTAGGCTAGATGTTTATTTGAAAGGTGTTATTATTCTGTTTAAAGTTTATGAGAGTGTTAAGTTTGTCAAAGTAATAGATAAATGAACTTGCCAAGTTTCTGTTTAATATCAGGTGTGTGAGAAAATATTTCTTCATCAATAACCCCGTCTATATCGTAACATAAAATATTACTGAGAATTTCACCATATCGAGGTTTAGTTTGTCCAGAATACCCTACAATAAAACAAAGTGGTTCATAAAACCGTGATACAAATACAGTAGCAAAGACAGGACAATCTGACTTTTCCGGCAAATGGTTAAAGTGAAAAACATCCAAATATTTCATCTAGCTGGCAGAAAAGTACCCGATATACTAATCTACTTTTTTTTTAATCTACCTTTCTTTTAACCATGAATACTACGAACTTGTACTGAATTACCTATGGAAAAAAAAACATTTTGTCTGGCGCCACTCTGCTTTGTGCGACATTTTGCGGTCATCGATTATGATTTGTGCATGTAATAGACCCGGAGAAAACCCACGGGGTTGGACAGGCGACCCTACTCCTTGTCATGTACAACCGGGGAATCGAATCCACGCCGGGTGACTCAATGACAGACATTATGATAAAGCGCGCACGTGCTAACCATTCGGCCACCCCACCTCCCACCTCAATAGTCTGATTGAATAATTAGCGTAAATAACTTTGAAGGTATTTAAAGATACATTGCCAGGTACAAACAGGATGCTTTGATGATATATTTGGACTAAAAACATATTCAAACTAATTAATTTATCATAATTTTGCTTCAAATCCTTCTCAAAACATTCAATTGTCAGGGAATATCCGGCTATAAAAAGTCGATCAAAAGAGGTCATGTTTGTGTCACGTGACACAACGGGTATGAAATCGGAGGAGAATTCATTGCATACAAAAGGCGATGTTGCCTTTATCGCTGACTATTTATTGAAAACATCGAAGCCTAATTAAATTCTCGGATTATCCACTGCCCGCGTCTTTTTCCGTGGATTTTTATCTCAGAAAGTGTTGTACGTCTAACCCTTCATAAAGTTTATCAACATGTACATCAAGCGTCGGGCTGTCGATTAGTGAAACCCGTACATTTTTGTCCTGTATGCGCTCCATGAGTGTTTTTTTCAGGGAATCCAGTATTTTTCTAGTAAGATTGGATATTTCTACTTTCCATATACCAAAATTGCCATACTTTTATTGGAAATAACCACCCGATAAATACTTGTCTGGGAACCTATCTTTAAAGCTACAATTTCATATTTTTAAGTTATATTTTTAAAATGTATTAAAATAAAGACTTAAAATCGATGCTATATATAAACAGTCCTACCTTGATAAAGAATAATCCTATTAATCCTATAATTCACTATTGCCAGTTAAGAAATTGGCAAAAATATCATTTTCAACTTCAAATCCAAACGTTTGAAGATAGCTATTCCATGGTAGGGAATAGAAAAACAAAGGGGGTAATTAGGAGGTAATTGTGTTATTATTTCCGGTGTGAAACATTTTTGAGTGTGGAGAATGATAACTATGATCGTATAATAGTGAGTTGACAACCTATTGAGTAAAAGACATAGAAATAATTATGTTATGACTTTCTTAGAAAATATGAAATTGTAGCTTTAAATGACAGACTAGAATGGGAAAAAAACGCATTTACGACTGTTGAATTTATAAACATTTCTCTGGGTTGGCGAGGTGTCCATACCTCGCGACGACCGGCGAAGCAGCTTCGTTGACTAAACGATTGAATTTTGCTTGGAAATCAGTTCAACCTCTTAAGATCTGCTAAATTGGACCCCACTGATGTGACTGTAAACCCCTATGAGCTGTAAACAATTGAATGGTTGATTGGAATTCAGGTCAACCACCTAAGTCAGACTATGTTAGACCTAGTTCAGTTGCTGTATTCACGGACCGGGATAGCAGGGACATGCGTTTCCGACCGGCAAATTTTCCTTCCGGGGCTCCTACACGATAAGCTCCTCGCCGCGTCTGCCAATGGGAATTTATTTTTCAGGCATTTCAGGTCTTCGCCCATCCCACTGACAATCATCGGGTCCGTATGGCTATGTCGAAGTTTATCTGTAGACCGAAGATTTGACCACATCTGAAGTCGTATGGCCAATATGTGGTACAATATTTACAACACGAGGTTATTACATAGTGGCAAGTGGTACAAGGTGTTCATACCATGTGTTCATACTATGAACCAAGCACATACCACCCACGACTATCATCGTGTCATGTTTTTAACTGAACAATTACAAAATAGTCTTTATTCGGAATTATAATATATGTTTTATTTGTTCGAGTCTATCTTGTAACCGATGTTTAGATTTAAAGCCATTTTACCTACAATACATTCAATTACAAACGTAGAGCTACTGCGTAAATCTCGGCACAAGATATGCACCATCTCAGTATCAGCATATCTATCAAATGTAGATGAAACCAGGCATATTGGAAGTTAAAAATCTTGACCCCCCCCCACGGGTAAACAATTCTTCTTGTTACGGCAAAAGCATTGTCATATTTGATATCTCTTCCTAATTAGAGCGGGACACATTTTATTATTTGACAGTTCATGATTCTGCAGGTGAATGATCTCTCGGTTGTACCTATCAGACCCAAAGTGTCCTATTCATATCGAGTGGGCTGGGCTATCCCCCCCCCCTTCCCGCAATCTCACTCCCTCTCTCTCTCTTAAATAATGCAGTAGACTAAAATTTGTGTATTTACCATTTGGTCCATCAATTTTTATACAGGCTTTGACGTCTTCCTTACGTTGCTGACAGAAATGAACCAACTCTAGAAAATTGAGCTTGTGACGCAGTGTGGTCCTGAGTTCATCTGGTAGGAAATATTTTACTGATGCTTCATCAACTTCTATAACACTAGATGTTACCAGACAACCCAATAATTCTTGTATATACCTGGTAATAGACAGTTCAAGTTGTCAACATAATGTTATAGAAATTATTAATTAGACCTTTATTTACATAACAAGTCCAAAATCAACTCTGTAGACCCTCGGATGGCTTGGATACAGCTTGGATTTAAACAGTTGTCCATGTAATAATTAAAACATTAAATGGCTGAACAAACTAACATTTACCGTTAATCACGGACGTCCTCCCGATGTAAGAACTGATAATCAAGGATATGGAGAATGTTACTTGGCAATCGAGAATATGTGGGCGGAGTTATCGTCTTTCATTGATGTCTATTTCTAGTCCAAACATCCAACCGCGATAACTTCGTTCAGAGTAGAGTAATATGACTGAAATTTTCAAAATTTTCCTTTCTCATCATCTATTTTTGAACTGTTATTATATATTAAGAATGGCCAACTCTGTATTAAAATCTTAACTAATATATCTTTAATAAGTCGTGGATTATAAATGCAAAGAAGCATTTGTTGGTGTGTTGGTCAAACATGGAAAGCGAAACCGCCGAAAACTTACCGCATGCGACGCATGACACAATCCTTGCTACACAGCTTTAGTTTTGACTGCTGTGGATACTGTTGGAAATCACTACTCTTGGACTTTGCGTCATTTATTTAAATATGGCTACCCCCATCAGATATATCAGGAACAACAAGACTTTCTTGTGCGTTTTGATATCGAAGATGCATAATTATAAGCAATAGTCTACATAATATTTAAAATTAACACGTCTTTCCTTCTCTCAACCTCACTCCTGCAACTTCTGGAAAACATTACTTATGGTCTTCCCAGATTTAATTATGTGAATGGTCAGTTAACCAGATATGGACACTGACCTTGAGAGCATATTTAGTAAATCACCTATAGGTCATTTAATTTATCAAAATATCATCTATTTCTAACGTGACGCCTAACTTGTTTATAATTTGGGAACCAATAATATTGTTACATTTTTAATTTTAGTAGCTCTCTGTGAAGCGGGGAAATAAACCTTCTGGTCTGCGAGCTGATCCCTCTGTGAAATGGAATAATCAACCTACCATTCTACATAAGCGTAGTCCAAGAAGATATACTATGTATAATGGAATGGTCAACCTATCGTTCTACACAAGCTCAGTTCTAGAAGATATACTATGCATAATGAAATGGTCAACTTACCGTGGTTCTAGACGATATACTATTACTAATAGAATGATCAACTTACAGTTCTACTTAAGGGTAGTTCTTGAAGATATACTATGTATAATGGAATGATCAACTTACCGTTCTACATAAGGGTAGTTCTAGAAGATATACTATGTATAATGGAATGATACACCTACCGGTCTTTAAGCTTAGTTTTTGAAGCTATCTGTGAAATTGTCATTGGTTCGTGGGGATCTATAAACACTTGTAATAATCCAATTTCTCGTCCTATGGATAAAGCTAAACACGCCGCAGCTCCATTTAAATAACCAGATAAACGATCTCCATATTCAGTGACTGCCATTTTCTAAAAATAAATTATTATTATTATTAGTATTGTCTTTAATATCAAATGGTCTGCCCTCGATTGATGTTCAGTGGTGTCAATCCCATGCCAATATGTGACAAGGAGTAGGATCGCCTACATTTCCTTCGTTTTTTGCACCATATATGACTCCCGAAATCACTAAGATTGTGTTGAGTGAACGTTTATCCTTAGCTATCTACCAATATGTTCCGTTTTGTAATCACTAACCATTACGCCTAATATTCAATGATAAATAACTTGAAAATTGTACCTAATTAACTACTTAATTTAAGATTCGGAGCTGTCGCATTTGGGTTACTTCAGGTTGATATATTTCGTATGCAAACTTTAACAATTTTCAGTTGTGTCAAATTGTTCCTGTGTCGCTGTAGATCTCGAATGAATTTTTGTTAAGTTCTGTGAACCTAATATATCACGCGTCTGTATGGAAGGTCGTCGCTGCCTTATAAGGCTATTTGGATGGTTATGTTGTTTTGGCATTTACATGATTTGATTTTATCATTACATGCTCTGAGGTTTTATCATTGTATATCGTTTTTTTAGTCCTTACAAATTGTGGTTTTGTCGTTGCGTGTGGCGGCGTTCTCATTGCATTGGCAGTATTGGCCTTCCATACAACTGTTTTCGTCCATCCAGCCTGCATTGTCAAACTTAAAACGTATCAGCACAATGACATAATTAAAGAGATATTCTCAAGTTGGCAATCTGTTCAACACAAGACCGCCTGGACGAAGATGTGGTGGGTATTAACGTCCACACAATCTGATTAAAACACAGATCCTATTTTGTTTCGCTTTTATGGTTCAAAATTTCGTTTTACTTGTCTTTACTACACTAGGATCTGGAAGAGTTGTTATCATTGACGTGTTCTGAATGGTGTGAGGTATTAGCCAATGAAACGGTCTGTTACGGCGAGCTTTAGGCGTGTTTTGCACGGAACAGTGGGTAATCCACTAGTAACATCAATGCTGATTGGTTAATCAAATGTCTGACGTCATAGGGTCAAAGGCCGCTCGTATGACCTCTGACGTGACCTATCGCAACAACCAGTCAGATCTTCTATAGATCTGTATTTTAATCAGATTGCCGAAACTTGGTCATTTCGAGAGTAAACAGGCATGATAGATCGTTATTGAATATTTCGCTTGAACAAATATGGGTCTTTAACCATGAGAGGAAATCAAAAGCCATGGGGTCAATCACAGCGATACTCATTGTCACTAGCAAGTCTAGTGGTGATACCAGTAGCTGGTGTTTCCAGATGTAGACTCATGGTAAACTCTCAACAGTTCAACACGATCTGGGGCTGAGTCTATTCCCACTTTAAACATATTACACATGTAAATTGATCGCGAAAGCATTTACTACTTAGTATAAAGGGGGGGGGGGGGGCGTCCACTCAACACCACCGAATTCATTTCAGGACTAACATAATAATATGGTATATTTTATTTGAACAATTCGTTTGCGTATTGAGGTCTTTACAAGTCTCAGAAAGGAAAGAATAACATACTTTTTGATTTCAAGGGCAACAGTAGAAAGCTCAAATATACTCTTCAAAAAACAGAAACCTACAGCCCATTTTTCATAATTTTTTATTTGAACGGGATCGTTGTTTCCATAAATCTTACCTGTTTTTAATGTCACTATGTAAGGATAAAAGAAATTTGTTATTGGTTTTAAATGTACGGTCACTAATTGTGACTGGTCATACTTTTTGCCGAAATTTGTTTTCGCTTGATTGCACCAAGACACAGGAGTTTAACAACTTCGCGAGCTTTTCGCATGCAACTCAAATCTAAGGCCTTTAATATCCCAGGGTTCTCGGTTTCAAAATCAGTTGACATGTGAACACCAGACAGATGTAGCCAGGCTGCTGAATGTTTCCCAGGGTACCATTTCTCGCATTTGGGATAGGTACCGACAGCGAAGATCAACACATGACCGCCCAAGCTCAGGCAAAACAAGAGTGACCCCACTTGCAATGGATCGTCACTTCCGGTTACGTTATTTGCGGTTCCGGTTCACAACAGCGACCTTTACTGCAGCAGCAATTCCTGGACGGCGTAAGATCTCAAACCAGACAGTCCATAGACGCCTACGTGAAACCGTATAGGGTATGGCCACAGCAACGCTGGAGAACAGCTTGGTTCAGCGACGAGTCGCGGGTATACCGACGACGAAATGTCACTATGCGTTTCTTTTTTTGAAGAGTATAGTTTAGCATGCTACAAATAGACGATACTAAATGGTGACAAATGGATCATCCATCGGGAATGACATGTTGTGCCTTCAGATGTCATGTTTAAAGATGAATCTTGTAGGAACTAAATCTACTAATGTAGGCTGTTTTTCTAGCTTCAATTGTTATATAAATTATCATTTAAATATTTGTTCACATGTCAAGCCCACAATCAGATGACAAGCAAGAACGATCAGCTGATTATCTAAATCTGACATAATACATCTTTAATATGTGTTAATCTGAACGACTACCATCAGGTTACAATCCGTGCAGGGATTGCAAGTGGTGTAATGGTAGTGTGACACTGCTCTGCATCGACTGTGCTAATAAAGACAGGACACTTATATGTAACTAGGTATTATAATCTAGCCGAGTAGGTTCGACGTCTCAAATCTGTGTCAAAACTCGAAGGCTTGTGTCGAATATATCGGTTAATCACGTATAGGGTTATATTATTGCATATATCTGTTCAGGTTTAAAATTAAAAATTGACCCGGGAAGTGGACCCTGGGACCCCATTTTGGTTTGCCGGTCTAGTATGAGGACATGTCCCACAAACAGATTAGAATAGAATGAAGGTGATAAAAGCTAGGTCAAAATGACGCTCATAAGTGTTGGTGTAAACAAGTGATGGTTGTATTTTGTATGCCACGAGTGCGATTGTATTACCCTCTTTAAGGTGATCCCCCATCCCCACCCCATCCCAACAAATACAACAAGACAATCACATAATGAACCGAATTGAAGGTTATTCCTTAATTAGAAGAACTGTTATTTTCTGTTTAGTCTAAGTAGAAATGTGCAAAGTTTTAATGTTCTAACCTTTCAACAATAGAAACCTTGCTACTTTTGTCCCCAAATAAACATTAATCGATTTACTCCACCATGCAATGTGCTTTGTGGCCAGTTGTGCCCGGACAGCGGCGCTATGGTCTACCCCTTTTTCGAATTCCAATTCCCAAAGGTTATTCTACGTGCAAGTCAACGAGACCTTGTTTTGTTCGTCCTATTCGAACGAATATACATTGTCCTTGTCCGGGTCATTGTTCATGAAATCCTTCCATCCAGCTTCACTGAAAAGGGGAAACCGCTCTGGAAAATCCAAGAACTTTTTCACACGACGACATCGTCGCCAAGACGTTCAGCCCCCACCATCAAATAAAAACATCATATCCATGTAAAAAATAACACAAATATGTTATATTTACAATAAATGTCTGGAAAGACGAGATAACCTTTATTTTTATTAAATTGGATATTCATTACTGGTAACCTGGAATAATCAATCAGTAAGTGCTTAATATCATATTCATTTCAGTATTGACTTAAAAGGGAGAGAGAGAGAGAGAGAGAGAGAGGGAGAGAGAGAGAGATGAATGGGGTTTAACGTCCACTCGACACAAACTAGGTCATTTCGTGACTAACATATGGTTTAATTTTATTTCAATAATTCGCTTGCGCGTACTTAGGGTCTTTAGCAGTGGGAGGAAACCGGAGGACCCGGAGACAGGCGACCCTACTCCTTGTCACGTACAACCGGGGAATCGAAAGCACGCCAGTTGACTCAATGACAGTCTTTATGATACAGCGCGCACACGCTAACCATTCAGCCATCCAAACCCCCTGACTTAAAAGTAGGAAAACTTTCTCGATCATGTCCTCCTATTTAGTGAACCAGGAATTTTACTTACTGGGCCACAGCAGCTCCCTTCCACTGATAAGAAATGGACTCTTGCATGGAAAACAGGAGTATTAGTTGTACACGACTATAATCTTGATTTTGTATGATCTGAACATTTAAATTCGTCGATTATGATGAATTACTGGGCTAATTAAAACTCTTTCACGATGTTCTAAACGATTAAGAGGAAATTGGCTTATGTCGTTTTTGTTCTAATCTGACGATTGTTGAACACAACATCAGTTTGGTTTAAAGGAAAATATTGGTGCCAGTCATTATCACATAAGTGATAGAAATGGTTAACACGTTCCAAATATAATTATAACACTACGATAGATGTATAACGAAGATTTCAAAAAACGGAAGTGACGAAAGCAAAAGGAAAACACGAGTTATCCTTCCACATAACTGACTGAAGTAACGGATAATAGATACACGGGTATTCTGCTTCCTGATAATTCCCTCAAACACCAAAAGTTGTTATATGAGAATGTGAGTGAATATCTGACAATTCCGAGAACCTACGCCAGTTTAATTTCTCAGAACTATTTATTACGGGGCGCCCAATATTTGTAAAGCGAGGGCTATGTTTGTTTATCCCAGAGAAGGGTTATTTTCTTGAGAATGTATGTTATTGTGAGTTCCCAGAGAACAATTTTTTTTTTATTTGTGGGGGGCGGGGGGGGGGGGGGGTAAAAAGCGCAAAGATTTATTTACGTGTTGTTTGCAATAAGATTTGAAATGAAATAACAATATAAAATGGTAGATTTAATTATTTTATTTTCAAGTTTTGTTGGTATTCACAAACGTGTTGTATGGAAGGTGGGGGGGGGTAATTTAAATTCGTGTTGTATGGTTTAACGTCCGCTAGACACAAACTACGTCATTTCGGGACTAACATATGGTTCAATTTTATTTGAATAATTCGCTTGCGCGTAGGGGTCTTTAGCAGTGGCAGGAAACCGGAGGACCCAGAGAAAAACCACGAGGCTGCACAGGCGATCCTACTTACAACCGGGGAATCGAAACCACCTTATGATACAACGCGCACTTGCT